GCGGCCCCCAGGGCGGCGACGGCCCCACCACAGCCCAGCTGGCGGCACACGACCTCCGCGTCCGCCAGGTCCCAGCCGTCGTCACACACGGTGCCCCAGGAGCCCGCGTGCCAGAGCTCCACGCGCCCGGAGCAGCGGTCCTCGCCCCCGCGCACGCGCAGCGCGCCCTCCTCTGGAACGGGGGCTGCCGTCACTGCGGGGGCTGGACCGGGATGGGAAGGAGGACAGGGACAAGGACAGAGGGGTACCTGGGCAGCCGAGCGAGGAGGGACAAGGACAGAGGGGTACCTGGGCAGCCGAGCGAGGAGGAGCAGTTGAGGGGCTCCCCAGGGTCCTCAGGAACTTCTGCTGCCTTTTCTGCACAGGAAATGGGGACCCGTTTCTGTATTTGCAAGCTCAGCAGCTAAATTATGTACAATATTTTTCGTTTCCTTTTTCCCTCTGTCTCCCCAACACACCAATTTCTGCTAAAGAGAGAACCCTCTGTTTAAGCAAGGGATCTCCACATGGGATTACAGATTCCACAAACTGTGCTGGAGACTTTTCCAAGGGGGACGTCTCCCTGTGGGACGTCCTCAGACCATACCGGGAAGTGCAGGGGTCCTGTTTCCCTCACTGGGGGAGATCACCGGGTCTAGGAAGACTCCAGATGTTCCCCACCCAGCCCAGAGCCTCAGCGCAGGGACCCCCCACCTTTGACTGGACCAGCACAGGGCAGACTCATCCAGAATAAGGAAAAGGGAAACTGACATTTCATCTCCCAGGAAAGGGCCCAGGCAGACACAGTGTGGGGCCCCTCAGAGGCCCCTCTCCACCACCACTCCCCCCACACACAGGCCCACCCACTCACCTGTGCACAGGACCCACGCTTCCTCTCCACTGGAGCATGAATGCTGGTCCCAGGGGGCTGATGGGCACTGCCACAGGGACCGGTCATGCCTGTCCCTGCACTGGATGGAACCCACCCAGAGAAACTCAGGAGCAGACCAGCTTCCTGTCCTGGCCTGCAGCTGCCCGTGGGACCCACAGCCCAGCTGCCTACACAGGACCTCAAGGGAGGCCGCACTCAGGGTCCGGCAGACACCACCCCAGGTCCCATTGTAGAAAATTTCCAGCCGCCCTGCGCATGGCTGCCTGTGGTCCTGAAGCCTCAGATCCGTGAACTCTGCAGAGAGACAGGCCAGTCAGCAAGGCCCAGCTCGGAGTGCGGGTGGGGACGACAAGGTGGAAGCGCTGCAGGACCTGAGCAGAGGACGCCGGCGTCCTCCTTGTGGCTGCAGTCGTGCTGGCCCCAGCCCGCCGACGGGCACTGCCACAGCGCAGATTCGTGGCCCTGGCAGCCCAGCTCATCCAGCCAGATGCGCCCTGCCCCGGCTCCGAAGTGTGCGGCCCCCAGGGCGCTCAGGGCGCGGCCACCAGCCCAGCTGCCTGCCAGACCACGTGCGCGTCATGCGAGGTCCCAGGCGTCGTCACCACACGGTGCCCGCGCCGGCGGCCAGCACCCTCTCCACAGCGCCCCAGCGCCGCGGCCGCGGCAGCCGCACCCCCGAGGCTCCCTGTGGGATACGTCGACACGAGTCCCAGGGCGGCCTAGGGACCCGCGGCGACGCGGCCATCGCGGGATGGCGGTTCTGGCCCTCACCAGAGACAGCAACCAACGCCGCCGGCGCTCCCGCAGGTCTCCCGCGGCTCCTGGCAGGGTCCGGGACACGCTTGCCCGAGTCAGGGCGGGTCTGCGTGCCAGACAGCGCGCGCGCTCAGAGACACCTGGACGCGACCCCCGGCTGGGGGCAGGGCCGTCATAGGCTTGTTCAGGCGCCGCATCGCACCCGAGCTGCGGCACACACCGTCGCAGCCCGCGCAGAGTCCAGGCATCGTCCAGGACGCGGCACGTCCAGGGAGACCCTCCACGCAGGCCACATACACAGCAAGCGGCTCTGTCCTCCCCAGCTGCACGGCGTGGGCAGACCTGGGATGGGTTGGACGCACAGGGGACCCAGGTGTCAGCGGAGGCGACCCGGAACCATCCACAGCAGGCCCCTCTCCGGCCGCATGCTGTCCTGCCTCTTCAGCCCTCCTCCTCCGTCCGGCTGGGCACCCACCTGAGCAGACTCGGAGGCTGAGTTCCCCGGGGGGGCATCAGGCCGGGGCCCCCAGGGTGGGCTTAGACTCCGGGCATTCACACAAGTAGGTTGCTGTCCCCCCAACAGTGAAATGCGTCCAGGGGGCCAGATGCGCATCCCCCGTCCCACCCAAAATGGCAGCCTCCCTCGAGTGTGGCCACCGCACTGCGCACAGTTGACCTCTGCTGATGGGCAGAGGACGGTTGCATCTGCTATGTCCCAGTGGGTGGCAGCAGAGGGGCCGCCCAGGACGGCCTGCCTGGAGCTCCACGGCGG